TAATCACTTTCTTTTATGTTCATTTTCATGGACTTCTTGAATCTTTTTACAAGCATAACCTTTTCAAACTCTTCATTTTCATCTTCTTCATTTCTTTCCTTTTCTTCTTCTTGAATGGTTGGTTTACGAGCAATTCCAAATTTTTTTATTGGTTCTTGTCCCTGTTTAAGCTTCATTTTAAAAGTAAGGAGAGAACTCACGAATTCATCCAAAGAAAGTGTATGAAGATCTTTGAATTCTTCAATTACGGTAACCTTTGCCACCTAACTCTTTGGTAGACTATTCAAGATCTTCGTTACCATTTTTACATTGAAATATGTCTTTCCAAAAGCCTTCAAACTATTGATAATGTCGTTAAAGCGATTGAATATCTTACTAATAGATTCCACTGATTTCATTTTAAAGAGCTCATAATCATAAGTGAGCATCCTAATTTTGGTCTCTTTGACTTGATTTATGCCTTCATGGGTAATGGCTAACTTATCCAAATTATTTTCGCATTTTCACACAAGAAAACTCTATTATACTCACTAGACCCCAATACATACAAAAGTGTGTGCATTACCTTGGCATTGGGATCTTCATATTATTAGCATCCCATTCACTTTTTTAATAGATCACATCTCTGTCATCCACCTTCTTTATTGAAATTTGAGGACCATTGACAATAACTCTTTATACTTTATAGTCATTAGCTTAAATGAACAATCTCATCTTAGTCTTCTAATATGAGTAGTTACCACCAACAAAAAGAGGAGGCCTTATAATAGAATTACTTTCACCACTAAAAGAAGTTGTAATCATTTCATTTGCCATAAGACACAATTCTTGTTGTTTTCCATAATTCTTGTAGCATGTGGATGGTTGCTTTTCATTCATCACAATACCTTTTTTTTAGCCATTTAGGATCACTTTTAGGTTGTTTAGACCTACAAAAATAGTGTACTAGCTCTGATACCAATTGTTAGCTTAAAGACTTAAATTAAACCAAGAGGGGTGAATTGGTTAATTATAAATTTTAACAATTTGAACCCCAATTAACACAATAATCACAAATATCAATTTCTAAACTAATCAACATAATATAAACAACTTGAAATGTAAAGAGGTAGAGTTAGAGAATCAAACACCGATATTTATAAAGGTTTCATCCTTTCTCAAGGCACCTAGATCTTCTCCCTTAGTCTCACTTGCTAAAAAATCCAATCTATTGTATGTTGAACATTACAACCTAGCTCTTCAAAGCTTTATACAATCAACAACACAATCTCTTAAGGGTTATCCTCCCTCTTAAGCTCACAACCTCATAACACAAGTTTTGAAGTGATTTTGCAAACTCAAAAACCTCTCTAAGGTTGGGTGTTTACAAATTTGAAGTTCAAATCAAAGTTATAAAGGATATCAAAAGAGAAATAAATACAAGATTGAATATTTTGCCCTTTCTCACAACAAAATTCCATTTAATGCTTGGAGAAGATGGTGGATGAAAGCAATAAGTTTTATTGGCTCTTGATAGCTTGTAATATGGTGGAAGACCTCTTTTTATATGCAGAAAATGGACGAGAGCCATTGGTTTTATTTAATGCATGGAGCTTCTGCAAAGCAACAAGAAAATATGACTGTTTAAACTTGTCAAGGCCAAATCAATCCATCCCTTCTATGGATGGGATCGATTGATTTTGGCTTTGAAAGCTAAAACTTTAGGCATGAAAATACAGCCTGATTGATCAGGTAACAATACCCAATTGATCCTATATGCAAGTGATTGATTCCCTAGTTTGAGTAATTAATCATTTTTTGTGTTTTTCAAACCAATTTTCATTCTGCTTAAAATATTAATCAATCCCTAAGAGAAAGGATGGATCTTGTTTTTTGAAACCCTTGTGCCAATCGATCTGTATAGGGAAGAGATCGATTAGTTTTCACGAAATTTCGACCAAAAAGCTTATTGGCCAAAAAAGTGATTGATCTTTTTAAGGAGGGGATCTATTAGGTCCTTAAGGGGATCGATCTTTTCCATGCAATTTTGGTTAATTTTGTTTTTTAAACCATAGGAGATGAATTTTTTTTGTTCAAAAACGTTTTTGACTAGATAAAAAGCTAGAAAAGTATTCAAATTAAGTTCAAATCAATTTAATTTGATTTTAGCAAATTTTTGTTTTGTTATTCAAAACACTTTGTCAATTCAAGGCTAACAAATTTATCCTTAATTATCCCAAAAACTTGTTTTTAATCTTAGTTTCCTTGTTGAATCCACTCTTCTAATTTTAAAAGGATAATAGCAAAACCAAATAAAAAGATGATCAATAGAATATATGAAAAAAATTGTAAAAATAATCTAAAAAAGAAAAAAAAACAAAGTAAAAATAAGGGAGAAATCCTTTTTTTTATTTTCATTTTATTTCACTCTAAAAATAATCAAAATCAAAATAAATAAAATAGATAAAAATATAAAAATAAATAAATAACTAATCAATAAGGATAAAATAAAGATAAATATAATATCAAAATAAAAATAAAGATAAATATAAAATAAATAAAAAGAATATATAAAAAAAGTAGATAAGTGTGAAATAAAATAGAATAGATAAAAAAAAAGGAAAATTGAACTTTTAGGCTTAAAACAGAACCTAGTCCAAACTAATTTAAAACCTTAGACTAAATGGAGTGTCTACATACATACATACATACATACATACATACATATCCAGAAGCTCACTTCATGCAATATGAACGGCTCCAAACCAAATATATAAAGGTAAAAAAAAAAAAAAAAAACTAAAAGAAACAAGCATGACTTTAATTTACCTTGTGTCAAATTTAGAATTTAAATTTGGGTTTAAATCTTCCGAAGTCCTTCCAAAATAATTCAATAACCAATAATTTGGATTCAAAATTATGAGTTATGGGATTATTGCACAAAAGATAGAGTGGAAATTTTTTATCAAGCACAAAAAATCATCTGAATAGTTTGAAATCAAATTTTAATTCGATTTAAATTGACTAAAAAATTTATAAATTCGAATCCAAAAAAATTTGAATCAAAACAATACGAAGTGAAAGCAACTTGCATATAAATTAATCTGAATACAAGCTCAAGATGTATTTGATTTAAATCTTGTAAAACTTGAATTTGAAACTTGAGAATATTCAAATTGTAATAATCCAAGATTGATCAAACCTGAAACAGAAAAACCCAAAGTAGCTTGAATTTGATAGGATCCAAATCTAAGTGGATTCAAAGCCGGAATTGTCTCGAGATGACCCAAACTATAATTAATGCTAATTTAAAGATATATACCTTCCCTTTATCCTCTAGTTGTGTTTGATTCAAATTATGCTGAAGTGCATGCTATTTAAGTGGCTTTAGAAGCTTTTTTCAATTCTATTTGGTTGGTAATATTTCTTTAATTATCAAGACAGATTCAACGATTGCCATGCTTAATACGAGTAAAAGACCTTGCAAGTTGTGGAGATTCTAATACAACGACTTGACTTAAAAAAAAAAAATTCAAAGTTCAAACTAGAGTTGAAGAACTAAGAATTGTTGCTGATGGAATAGTATTTGTTTTAAAGTATTACAATTATAATTAAGAATTATTTTATATAATTAATTGAATAATAAATTATTATATTATAATTAAGTTATAATCATTAAATAATTAATTACGAATTAAAAAATAACAAGATAACTAAATTAACACCTAATAAATTTAGATAATACAAGAGCCAATTCTAGTAATGCACATATCATACCTCTTGTATTAACATAAAGCATTAAGAATGAGCATTTCCATCAACTTAAAGTACCACTTTGTGCTTGGTCAACATTTACACAATATAGTTTTTTTTTTTCCTGAAATTACATTAATAATTAAGTATTATATTTATATAATTAATTGAATAATCAATTATTACATTGTTAAATAAATAATTAATAAATTATAATTTAATTATACAATCAAATTACTCAATAATTAATTAATAAATTATAATTCAATACCAAAGCAACATTAATAACTTGAAAAAGTCAATCCCTAACCACCAATTTCCAGCAGATAAAACAACTCTTTATAGAGAGTATCATTTGGCTGAAAATTTTTAGTTTATTTTTGGCAACTATAAGAGAATCATATCTCAAAGCTACTCCTCCAACCATATTTTCATGCCATTTGCAAACCAGTAAAAATTGCATATACTTCTTCTGCCTTAAGGATACTACCAAACAATTTTTTTTAGTTAAAACCACAAAAGCCAAAAACCATTACAGTACTAGCCCACCGACAACCAAATTACCTGGATTGTTAATAGCATAAGCATCCACGTTAAGTCGGAGGAGGAACCTTCCAAGCAATATGTTTAATTTGTTGGAGTACAACATATTTCAAACCCCTGTATCTCATAAAAATAACAAGATAACTAAATTAACACCTATGCAAAAGTATAACGTAGTAGTCAAAAAATGTAATTCATGAAATAAAGATTAAATTAAAAAGTAAAGGGAAAGATTTTCCGTACCATGAAATAAAGGGCACATTAATGATTGAAAAGAGAAGCAATAAATAAAGAGATTATATTTAATGCTGTTATTATATGATTTCTGACATTAATGACTGTTGGTTATATGGATACAGTATATATGTGTTATAATAATTCAGACATCAATTGGGAGGATTGTTTGTAAGAACAATAAAAATCAATATTAAGAATTGTTTGTAAGCAAGAAAATAGATGATAAAATTTTATAAAATTTAACTAATAAAACATATCATTTAAAGGAAGTTTATTTTAATAATTAAGGACTTCTATGTCAATAAGAAAATAAATAAAATAATTAATATGATAATTTAACCAAAAACATCATATTTTTTTTAAAGATGAAAAAAAAATCACAAATTAAACGCACAACCGAAAATCAAATAAAACCTAAGATAGGGTTGAAGATCGTGAGCAGAGCGGGAAAGAACATGAGGCCAAGGGAACAAGTGACGATAGCAAACCCCAAGGAAGATTGCAACACTGCGTAAGTACCAGTGCTGAAAGCAACCACCATCGCTGCCATCGCCAAAACAGTTAACCAATCCGCCAGATGTTTCAAACGAACTAGGAAATAGTCTTTGGCTCCAGGAAAAAGCACTAAGAAAAAGTGAAGGAAGAAGGCTAAAAGAGAAGAAACAAATGCCAGGGTACCTGTTATAATGAAGGCTTGAAAAGCCGAGTCACGACTCAAGGTAGCAGTGCCTTGCTCACTCTTGTTTCCACCAGGTACTGTGAATGCTGCAGCAAATGTTACGGTTGCTACAAGCGTTGCCACCAGCAAATGGGTCTCCCTGGTTTTTGGGTCAATTTCGTGTTCGGGAATATCCTTCTTCTCCACCTCCTTCGCAATCTCACGGAAGCGGTAGTGAACCGGCATCCCCGCCACTTGTGCATTATTAGCTATATCTTTCATAAATTCCATAATCTGTTTCATCTGCAGCACATAATTACGCGTTGATTTCAACAATGATTAATTTTGATCATTCTATAGAATTTTGGGATGGAAAAAGTGAGATACATGAAATGATAGAAACTTCCTTCTCATTGCATAATCCAATGTTCCAAATAAAAAAATCTACTAATTCGATATTTAAATAAAAATAATTTGTTTGCTTTTAAAATTATTCTTATTTATTATATTTTTTATTTTATTGAAGATATATTTGATTTTACAAATGAAATAAACTATTATTTATATCATAACATATAAAGATATAAATATATATTGAAGTATATATATATTTTTGTATATAAAAAGTCACTGTCTAAGAATAGAAAAAAAAGTTGTAGATTTTAGGATTCAAGTTTCAGACCTCTAAATACTTTTAAAAATGATTATATAAATTAATTAAATTAAATTTCGAATTCACATAAAAACATATTTAATGTAAAAACTGTACAACCAAGTAAAAAAAAACGAAAATTATAATCCTGACTGTCCCAATTAAAAATATATATAAATAAAAAAATAAATGTCTATTTAACTTGCTTATAGGTGGAATTTAAAAAAAAATTCCAATCAAATATGTAATGACAATGATAAAATGTAAAATTATGTATATATAATGGGAAATGTAAAGCTTAATTAAAGTAGGGTGGAGCCAGCTGTCGTACCTTCGATGTTATAAATGAATATGAGTATAAACGTCCTTCGGATGCGTGAAGTTTAAAAATACGAAAAACTTCCCTATAATCTTCACTACCATCATAATTACTAAAATGCAGGACATGTAAAGGCGTGATCCCATCGATATCCTTTTCTTCTATAAGATTTCTAACTGGTAAATCCTTAATCTTATTGTTATCATCAAAAAAGAATCCCTTTAAATTCTCTCGGTTTTAAAGTAACGACTGCAAAGTGAAGAAAATTCCATCCTCTTTTGTCCACAATTTCACAACAGCCTGGACAATAGGAGATAATGTCTTCCATTATGTTCGTCCGGCCACTCCAAGCTGCCATATGAAGAGCCGTCGTCCCTCTCTCTTTATCAGTTATATAAGCAGCAGATGGATCGGCTTTTAACAACAGTTGCGCAATTGAACGGGAACGGAATTGCACGGCATAATGAAGTGGAGTCCGCCCTTTGTCATCAGTTTCTTTTGTTAAATGCTTTTTTGCCTCTATTATTATCCTCACTGATTCTACCAAAACAAAACGAAGAGAAAAAGTTCAATCATATGGTGTGTGTGTGTGTCTATATATATATATATATATATATATATATGAAATATTTTGTGAGATTTTTCTATTTTCATCATTTATTGTTAAAAATATATTTTAATTATAAATAAATTCATCATTCTTAATGAATTTACTCGGTAAATATAGTTTCATCTATAATTTTTTAATAAAAATATTGATTAGTGAAAATTTATTAATTAATTTATGCACAATGTGTATTTCATTCTCACAAATTATATAAAAAATGATATCAAAATTCACATTTTCAAATTAATATATTAAAAATAAATTTATTAATATAATATATAAATATAAAATTAAATAAATAATTTATATATTTTTATATATCCCAAGACAAAAAAAAACCTAAACTTTCCGTCAATCCAATCACGACTTTTGCAAAAAAAAAAAAAAAAATCCCTCTTCCGACGAAATATCAATTTAAAAAAAGAACATCCCTACTAGATCTCATGAGGTCAAAATCCGTAAAAATGAATTATTTTGTCACTTTTGTCTATATTGATTCTTTTTAATAAATTTTATCTAATTAAAAATTAAAAAATAGCAAAAAAGAAAAAAATCCAAATAATGGTGCCACTTGGACACCTACGTAACACTACCATTTGGCCTCTATTGTTATTTTTTAAAAAATATCTAATTTAAAATAACAAAAAAAAATCAAATAAATTACATACAAAATTTTAAAAAAGCTAAAAATAAAATTAATTATTAAACATAAAAAAAAGCTCATGAGATGCCACATTGCACCCAAAAATATATAACATTTATATTATAGATAAGTATTATTGTTTGCTCCTTTAGTCGTTAAAAGATCACGACCGAGCTTCTAACACATGGTAAGAACTTTGCCACATTATCATATCCACATCAGGATAAGAACTTTTTTTTATGTGTGTGTATATATATAAATATAAAGAATTTATTTTTTTTCTTACCTTGCCATGTGGAAAAGTGGTTTACTTGGTTAATGACGTGAAATGACGAGTGAGGGACTAAAAAATTTTTGTTCGAAAGATATTTTTGTTTTGTTTTGTTTTTTTATATATATATATTTATCTTTGGTTTTCTATCATGTTTAAATTTTTAATTTTTTATTCAATTTTGTTTTAAAAAAATAAAAAATAAAAGAGTCAATCATAGTCTTAATTATATTAACCCAAAACAACAATGAATCACACAAAACATTGAGCTCACTTACCTTTATTTCTGGCCATGGTTGCTGCATGCAAAGCAGTTCTACCATCAGGGCCGCCACAGTCCATTGACTTGCAATTATCCAATATCCCAGCCACCAAAAGATTGCTTCTTCTCCCGGCAGCTATGTAGATTGGAGTCTCACCGCTTTTATTAGCGGAGGATGAAAAGTCAGGATCTAATTCCTTTACCAGTAGTCGCACCACATCACGGTCAGCACTTTCAGCTGCCTTATGCAAAGCAGTGTTTCCCTCCTTATCCGCCATTTCCAGCATCTGCTTCATCCTGGTTGCTTCCAGGTCTTTGGCGCGTTCAATAAGGAATTTGATTATATCAGAATGACCGTGTCTAACTGCTACGTGCAATGGGATTTCTCCTTTGGCATTGGGTTGCAGTAGCAGTGATGGGCACTCGTCGATAAGTTGCTTAACAAAGTTAATGGAGAACTCTTTCAAATCTCCTTTTCCGAAAAAACAGAAACCGTTTATCAATTTTGACTACCAGTCGTCCTCCGGTTCTGCAGTAAATATGGAGCGCTGTGTTTTGCCTTCCGTCAACCAGGCAATGAAGACCACCTTGATACTTATTAAATAGTTCCATGTCACCATTTTCTGCGGCTTTGAACAAATCACTGTCCATGTAGGTAATAACCTCTGCTTGCAGAGTTAGTTCAGAGGGAATGGATGAGCTAATTGAGGGATCCAGCTGCATCATTGCAATTAATTTGGCTCGCTAATTAAGGCTCTCCTATTCGACCAAGCCAAGGCAGGCAGGCACACAATTTTTCTGAACCAAATTGTTAGGAAAATGGGGTTCAGCCTCAATTAAGTGGTTTTGGACCAAGTAAAGGCTGGGCCTTGATCTTTCATTTTACACAGAGCCCTAGCTACTTAATAAAAAGTATGTGGGGTTGTTTTAAGTATGTGTCGAAAATCAAGTAGAGAAAGAAGAAAAGCCAGAAAAAGCACAGAGAAAAAAGAGAAGGGAGAGTTGGTTGAACGAAAGTCGATCCGTGATCCGATTGAGTTGGAACCTTGTCAAGAGGTTTATGATTTAGAGTTCTACATTCTGAACGGTGAAGATCGGGTTTGAAACTCTTTAGGAACAAATCTAGGGTGTATTTGTTGAGTCACTTATTTGGTGAGATTTCTCTAATTGTTTATCTAGTCGTTGATTAGCTCTAATTTTAGCTAGAAAAGAACTTTGTATACCTATTATTTGATAGTGAAAATTTTTCTGGTGGTCCGTGATTTTTTCCTTCTACACTAGAGGGTTTTCTACGTAAATCTTGGTGTGCTTTATTTTTCCTGCATTTTTTATTATTGATTGTTGTCAATTGCTTCTGTATTGTTGTGATTATTGCTTCAGGCACAACACAAATCATGGAATCCTATTGCCCTTTTATATCTTCATCATTCATTGCCCTTATTCCAATCTTTGTACCTTCGTCATCACTGTAATCTTTATTCTATTAACAAACTTCAATATTACAAAATAGAATCCTTTGCTTTTATTAGTTAGTACAAAAATATTTTCTCTTTAAATACTTTATTCTAATCTTTATTCCCTGACTTTATGATCAGATTATACCATATGCTCTCTAGCATATATAATTCTCCTTAGACATCGTATGAATTATGTTGAATATAATTATAGTTTTTGGTTTTTATTATAATTTTAATGTATGGAAATTAACAGTTACTTAATTTGCCAATTATACATGATTTCCTTGATTATAAATGTTATTTTTGGTAAGAGTTATATTTGATGCATTGATAATGTATAAACTATATACACTATCATTGAACCACATGTTGAAACATCATTAATGAGTAAATCCTAAAAATTAAAAGTCTTAAAATGTAAATAATAAAAAGTGACTTCAATATATTTTTAAAGACTTTTCAGCTTTTAAGTTTATTTATTGCTTATGTGTCAACATGTGATTTAATGACATTGTATAAGTTTATTCTGTTGAAATGGACTAAAATCTCAAAATAAAAAAATTGTATGAGATTTTTTTTGAAATTGGCTAAATTTTGGCTGATGGGAAAAAAACTTATAAGAGAACAAGAGAGTATGGGAATAGGAATGAATGAGAGCTAATTGAGGGATCCAACTGCGTCATTATAATTAATTTGGCTAGCTAATTAAGGCTCTCCTATTTGACAAAGCCAAGGCAGGCAACCGCATAATTTTCTGAACCAAATCATGGAATCCTCTTGCCCTTTTATATCTTCATCATTCATTGCCCTTATTGCAATCTTTGTGCCTTCGTTATCAATTTAATCTATATTCTATCAGTAAACTTGAATATTACAAAATAGAATCCTTTGCATTTAGTAGTTATTACGAAAATATTTTCTCTTTAAATACTTTATTCTAATCTTTATTCCATGAATTATCTTTATGATCAAGTTATACCGTATACTCTCTACTGTGTATAGTTCTTCTTAAATCGTGTGAATCATGTAGAATATAATTATAGTTTTTGGATTTTATTATAATTTTAATGTCTGAAAATAGTTACTTAATATGCCAATTATACATGATTTTCCTTGACTATTGTGGTGACGTCTTGGAATCCGGGGCTAGGTGATTTGAAAGCTGGACAAATGAGGAATTGGAAAACAGGAGCTAAAAAGCGTTTTCGATAAAAATCAAAATGAAAGAGTAGCTACTAAGCTTTTTTAAGAGTGTGATCGGCTACCCAAAAATTTTATCTTTTTACAAAATATTTTAAAATAGTTTAAAAGTTTTACAAAAGAACATTCTGAGGTTTACGAAAATCAAAGTTGGGTCTAAGAGTCAGTTACGCATAAGAAATAATTAGCACACCCATAGTATCTATCGAAGATGGTACTGATTGATTGCATGTTATACTTGAATTTTGATTAAAATGGTTCTATTTTCCTTTATGTTTAAAACAAATCAAATTTTAAAAAAGAAAACTTTTTTATTTTTGGATCAAGATGAAAACACCTTAAACATTGAAACACTTCTTTTACTGTCTTATAATTAGATAGCATTTCAAAAATATCTCTAATTTAAGGGTTTTCAAATTACCCTACAAAAATTGAGATAACACTTCATGTAAATAATCTAATTTAGTGATTTTGATTCTTTTGGTTTTTTGTTTTTGTTGTCATTTCTAATGATTTCCTATGTCCTTTATTAAGAGCAACAAATATAAATTATCAAATTAACTGCAAAACGAAAATGAGAAAAGTAAGCGGTGTTCCTAAATGTGAGTTAATTGAGAAAATTTCTATGAAAATGGTGCGACATGGCTTTACCTAAGGTTGATTCCCTAAAAGCTAACTATATGCTGGGTCGAGAATTGACACATCTAAGGTTCCCATGCTTCTCACATCATCGTCCATCACAGATTAGTGTGGTACCCCGATCTTCACCCATTACTGGCTACAAATGAAAAATGGTTCAATTTGAGTGTGAGTATTTCATTAGTCATTCCGAAGGTTTACACCTCTCGAGGATGTAGCTACTTTACTTCATCCTAATTAGGGTTAAAATCAGGGTATAGAGCTTATGCATGTAATGTAATGTGCATGTATGCAAAAGAGCAAATAAAATTTTTACACTTTTTCTAAAACTACCCCTATCCTAAATGCCCCCTAATATTAAGAACAAAATAAATAATAACAATTTAAAGTAAATGACATAATTAAAATGTACATGAAATGTAAAACATACCCATATTTTTTTTATGCCTTATGAAAACAAGAAAATTGAAGTTGAAAACATTTTTTTTTAGTTTTTTGAATTTTTTTGTCTTTTATTTTGGAAAAACAAGAAAATTAAAATCGAAAAATTAAGATTAAACACTAATAAGACTATTAAACCAAGATTAAGATTTGAAAAATGGAGGGAGAATTTAACATAAATTGCTATATCTAAAAATTATTTTATTTTCTAAAATTAGATATCTATTTATAATAAAATAGATATCTTTTTGTACAGACATGACCATCCAAATAGATATTTATTTATATAGACATAACAATTCAAATATGTATTTATTTAGACATACACAATTTTTTGAAACGCAACTCTTGACAAATAATCATGCCTTTTAAAGGAATATAACTTGTTACCATTACATGTAATCATGTGATATATTATTATTGAAAATGTTCCAACAATATCCAATTTAAAAGAAAAAAAATTGCTTGGGCCTTTGGCGGCTAGGTATTACATGCATTGGGCCCTAATACTAGAATTGAAAAGTCTCCCCTCACCCTAAATTTTTTGTGACCCAAAACAATAGAATATTGTCATTTATCAATCCAATGTAGTTAAGAGTAAAATGCAAAGATATAATCAAATAGTAAAGGAAATTCATGGAATAAAGAGTAGAATAAAGTATTTAAAGGAAAATATTTCCGTACTAACCAAAATGGAAATATATTGTGTTTTGTAATAATGAAGTTTATTGATCGAATAAAGGTTGAAGTGATTAAAGTTATAAGTAAGGAACAATGATTGGAATGAGAACAATGAGTGGTGAAGATATATGTCTAAAGGCAAGAGGATTCCCATGATTTGGTTCAAAAAATTTGTGTAGAACATTGATTGGAATGAGAGCAATGAGTGACGAAGATATATGTATAAAGGCAATAGGATTCCCATAATTTGGTTCAAAAAAATTGTATGCCAAATGCATTGGCTTAGATTGAATAGGAGAGCCTTAATTAGCTAACCAAATTAATTATAATGATGCAGTTGGATTCACTCAAATTCATCCATTCTCTTTCCCTTTAAAGAGTTTATGCAAGTAGAGGCTAGCACCTAATAACATGGACCATATGACTTATGACTTATATAACCTAATGAAATATGTGAAAAATCCATATATAGTATAAGTTTATGACCCAAATTTTAGTGTTTTTAAGGCATAAGTATAAAAAAAGTCCCAAAGTTAAAATTAAATAATCATCCAAGTATCTATCATTTTATTATAATCAATTAAGCCGTCAAACATCTACTTTCATCAATTGAGCTCTTACTAAATAAAAATTGATTAACCGTCAATATCTATTTCTGTTCAATCGAAGGCTCAATGGAAAAAATATATGTTTAAAGATTCAAATTTATGAAAATAAATATTTAAAAATACAATTGAATGAAAATAAATGTTTGAGAGCTTAATTGATTGAAATAAAATGATTGGAGTTTAGATAATTATTTAATTTTTGTTAAAGGGCTTTTATATTTAAGCCTTTTTTAATTGTTTTTAGTAAGAAACTTTTATAATAAAAGAATTTTGCATAAGCCAACTGAGTTTAACTCAGATTGCATGAGGTTCTTCTGCATTAGAAGGTGGCTTGGTTCGAGAAGTAATGCCCTTCCCGCAGGTAAGTAGATAAGTATGCTGTAATTAGTGGGATAAGGTAGGGTCAGAGGTAGATTAGAATTTAAAATAAAAAAGGAATTTTGCTTAAATTTCACATTTTGACAAAATAGCATTCATTATTTTTTCTATACATAAGAGGTCACATTTGAGAATAGGAGAAACAGTTGCAGCTACTGCAATTCAAACTCTAGATTTATTAAATGTCATATTTTAAGGGTGACTACATAAATCATTTGAGTTGAGTCTCCAGATTTGAGCATTCATTCATTCATCTACAAAAAAGTAAAAGACAAAAAAAAAAGTAAAAACAATATTGTTTTATTTCTTTTCCTTTTCC